TTGGAGATTTAAATATTGGTAGGTGATTGACAGTCCCATCCATGTCTAACTAATGAAACCCACTATAATGATATTAAATTGATGAAGTTGAGGCCATGAGTAAATAAAATGAGACTTATAATTGTTATTTTAATAAGAGTAAGAAATAAAAGATTTGATTAGTTAACATTTTGTGCATAATGTTTTTATTCCATCTATAGAGCTTTTCATAACATTTAAATAATTGATCAATTTAAGTGAAAATATTCTAACAGTATGAAATTTACAAAATTTACTTGCCATCGATCCAAATTTATTTGACTTTCCTAAGGACGTGCCAATTAGTAATTATTGGTCGTTACAATTTGGTATCAAAGGCAAATTTATCTTCTTGTAGACCCATTATGATTTTATGTGATTTAGGAGGTTAAAGAAAGGTCATTGTTCACACTTGAACAGTGCTCCCCTTGTACTGTTCACGCCATGTATTGTTCACAAAGTTAATAGTTACCCATTACTGTTCACGGTGTGAACAGTAAAAAAATAGATACATGTGTATGCTACCCCAGTAAATGTAGACAATGATTGGAAAATACTCAAGATAAAATTTATTGGTTTTGTGGACGATTTCATTCTCAAATTTGAATTTTATTTTGAAGAAAAAGGACAAAATTGAACTTCATTTTGGAACAATTTGTATACCTTCCCCAGTAAATGTAGATCATGCTGGGATATATTTATTTGTATTTTTAACATTTGAAAAAAAAAAAGGAAAAAAATAATGATGCTATATAAATATTGGATTTTACATATTTTAAATGTCACATTTAATAAAATGTTTATTTGTTTAGCCATTTCCTTGCTTAATGTTTGCTATAAGTTAATATTTTTCTAAGGTTTATGAATTTAATAATAATGTCAATTTAAAGTTATTAAATATGTGAATGATCTTTGGCACTTAACGACCACTAATCGATTACCCTCCGACGACCCTAATGTATGTAAAGGGGTAAGAAGATGAATGCACTTAGACATTTTGCATAATTTAAATACTTTAAATTCCTATCTTTAAAATTTTAAAACATGCACATTTGTTTCCCCACTAACTTTATGATATGTATTACAATAAAATAAGTATAATGTATTAGACTTAGTACTGGATTGTGATTGGTGACTTCATATTAAATTTTAGGAAATGACACCATCTACTCCCATGAACTTGATGCGTGATTTATTGCAAGCGGTATAAGAACTGAGCAGATAGAGCTAAACACCGTCGCCACAAGAAAATGTACCTCTATTTGTCCCAGAAGCTGTCTCAGTGATTGAGCAGTTTCGTAGGTACAAGCCTTCAACTTTCAATGGTGGTTTCGACTCACTAGCTATTGAGGAGTGGATTAGAGGTCTGGAGTGAATCTTATGACACATTGCTTATACGAATGCACAGAAAGTACTATGCGTAGAATTCATGTTTGTTGGAGTAGCCAGTCGCGCATTAGGACAGAAGAGCAACAACATAACTTGTCCTGGAAGAATTTAAGAATGAAATGATGGCAAAATATTTTCCATAGGTTTTAAGAGACTTCAAGGAATAAGAGTTTCTATAGCTCAGGTAGGGAGACATGTCGCTTACTGATTACGAGAGGCAGTTTGAGCAGCTTTCAAGATATGCCCCACATTTAGTGGATACCGAAGTTAAGAAGATTAAGAGGTTCAAAAATGGATTGCGCCCCGAGATCGGCATGATCATTATGTCCCATTGTTTCACCTCATATCGTGAAATGTTGGAGAGGGCTTATGCTATTTCAAAGGACCACATTTGAACAGTATGCCTAGCAATGAGTCATTGGGAAAAAGAAAGTAGAGTGAATAGAGTAAGAATGAACATAACTAGTAGAATAAAAGGTCAAGCACAGGAGTTCGTATCGACGGGAAGAGTGGGATATTAGACCTTATCCTAAGTATAATAAACACCATAGGGTGAATACTTACTTGGGAAGACATGGTAAGCTAGGACATATTGCTCTCAACTGTACAGAGCCTCCAAAGAAGAATGATGATGATCATGACAAGGACAAGAAAGAGAAGGCCCAAGTTTTTACACTGAATCAGCATGAAGCGGAACAGGATTCGAATATGATAGAAGGTATTTTATTATCATTTTTTAACAAACCTGCTTATAGTCTTTTTACCTAGGACCACACATCGTTTTATCTTTGCCCCTTGATCGCCAGTCTAACACTATAATAACGAAAACAGGTATTATGTTATTATCTGATGTACCTGCTTGCATACTTTTTGACTTTGAGGCTACAAATCCTGTTATCTATGCATCCTTCATCGCCAGGTCTAAATTTACATGTGTGAGAACGAATAATGAATTAGAGGTTAGCATCCCTTTAAGAAGAACTTTTTGCACAAATCAGATGACTAAGGATATGAAGATAGAGATTAACGGGAAAATATTATAGATGAACTTATACCTTTTGGAGATGAAAGTTTCGATGTTAGTTTAGGCATGGATTGGTTAGGACTTAATAATGCGACCATTCGATGTCATGAGAAAGAACAACAATCCCTTACTTGTTCAAAATTAACAAGGTCTTATATTCAAAGTATACGATACTCATATATAAGGATTAAATATCTTTCGATTGGAATCTAACCATAGTGTAATTCAAATAAAGTAAATTTGGAATTAAAGGTAGCGTGAACCTTTGAACCAGTTACCCCATGTAACAATACCCGTAAGAACACACACATGAGTACCATGTGTTCTCAAGTTCCTCATATTTAGCTTAGCGCTTCCTTGCGTTTATCACTTTCAATGAACTTTTAATAGAAAAACTCTCACCTCAAAGTTTGTTTAGGTGAAGTTCTTCCAGTACCTTTGCTATTTTTAAAGGTACTTGTGTTTTAGCACTAAACTTCATTAAGAGTTTCAAACTCACTTCAGTAACAATTAGCATTATTTTAATTACGATAGGGTCATTGCGGATTTTAATAATGTTATAACTATTCACATAACGAATGACTTGTGTTACCTTTGAATCCTTGATTACCTTTGAGTAATGACAGGTAGCATTGCTATCACTTATAGGCTTTTTTAGTTTAAGAGTTTTAACCCCATCCTACTCGAAATAGACACCACTAAATTCTCAATGACCTTACATAATTTAGGAAAATTATTCCATCCTTGATTAATTTCCTTGTATCATCATGTCTAGACTTTCCATTGTATACCTCACCGTACGCTTTGCTAAATTGGCTTAATTGTCACACATGATAGATATTGAAGAGATACTCTTTGATCCCAAAGGTATTTCATAAAAGAGGTGCTGAAGCCACTCAGCCTCTTTCCCAGTTTTAGATAGTGCTAAAAATTCAGATTTCATGGTTGAGTGTGTTATGTATGTTTGTTTCTTTGACTTCCAAGAAACATCACCTCCTCCAAGAGCGACCACCCAACCCGAGATGGATTTACTTTCACCTGCGCTAGATATTAAACTAGCATTGATAAATCTTTCCAATATCACTTGAAATTTAGTCTATTGCAGGTCTAAGTTCTTGGTTTTCTTTAAATATATAAGCAATCTCCCAATGGCCTTCCAATGATCATTGCTTAGATTGCTAGTAAACTTACTAAGTTTACTTATTGTATATGCTATGTCTAGTCTTTTGCATTAACTATATACATAAGACTACCAATATCACTTGCATATTCCAATTGAGTAATCGCCCTTCCATCATTCTTTACAAGTTTTGAACTTGGATCAATTGGGGAACAACACTTTTTTACATTCAAGTGTTTGAACTTGTTTATCACATTCTCGATATAATATATATGACTTAAGTGATAAACCCCACTAGTCTTTGTGACTTTGATACCAAAATGATATCTACCTGTTCAAGATGTCTTGAATGTGGAAGATAGAATCCTCTTCGTTTCTTCTATACTGTCTATGTAATTATTTATAATTAACATGTCGTCAATATATAAGCATATAAATGTCACATAATCGTCACACACTTTAGAATATAAACATCTATCAATGCTATTATGTTTAAACCCAAATGATATTATTGCTAAGTCAAACTTTTCATGCAATTTCCTATGTGCCTACTTCAAAATGTATAACGATTTTACCAACTTGCACACCTTTTGTTCGTTTCTAGGTAGAAAAACCCTTCAAGTTGTTCCATATAGACTTCCTCATTGAGATCCCCATTTAAGAATGATGTCTTGACATCCATTTGATAAACATGTAAGCCATGTATTGAAGCTAAAGTGAATAATATCTTTATTGATGTTGTTCTAGTTATTGATGCATAAGTGTCAAAATAATCTATTCATTCATTTTGTCGATAACATTCGGCTACCAATCTAGCCTCGAATGTATTTGGAGATCCGTCAACATCATATTTTCTCCTAAATACCCATTTATACCCAATAAGTTTGGATCCGGGTGGTAAATCGACAATTTTCCAAGTATTATTAGTCATTATCGAATCTATTTCATCCTTAATTGCATCTTTTCAGAAAAATGTTGTCATGAGAAGCCATAACTTCTTTATAAGTTTTAGGGTCAATTTCCACTTGTAGAACAAAGGGAATTGTTCTTACAATATTCAACTCATTTTCCTCTACTAAATAAAAGAAGATAAGTTGAGAATCATTTTTATCCCATCCCAATTACTTCTCAACTCGAGTTCTTTTGCTTCTTTGTGGTTCATAGACTCATCAATATCCTTAGAAGACATTTCATCACGCGTTCCACTTGAGCTAGGGATAGTTTGAAGATTTTCCCGCAATTCATTATCGGAAGATAACGAATCTTCAAAGAACTCTACATCACTATATTTGATAATTACATTGGTCTCCAAATTTTAGCAATCTATAAGATTTGGTATTGTTTGCATATCCAACAAAGGTACATTTGATGCCTCTTGGACCTAATTTGTTCCTATTAGGGTTTGTGTTCTTACAATAAGCAATTCACCCCCATAGTTTGAAATACCCAATGTTCGGTTTTCTTTCTTACACAATTCATAAGGAGAAACCTTTGTATGTTTTGAAGAAATCCTATTAAGTATCTTATATGCACTTAATAAAGTTTTAGCCCACAAATTAAATGGTAACTTAGCATAAACAAGAATGACATTAATCATTTCAACTAAGGTTCTATTTTTTCTTTCAACCAAACCATTTTGTTTGGAAGTTCGAGGTGCAGAACATTAGTAAATTATGTTATGTTGTTCACAAAATAAGTTAAAATCTTTGAAAAAATATTCACCACCTCTATCACTTAATAAAATTTTAATTTTCTTTCCTAGATGATTTTCAACTTGGTTTTTATACACCTTGAACATGTCAAAAGCCTCATGTTTATTTTTCATCAAATAAACATGTATATCTAGTGCAATCATCAATAAAGGTAATAAAATACCTAATTTCACCCCTAGTTAACGTGCC